AAAAAGGTCGGGGAATAAAAATTTGGATGTTGCAAAATAGACTGAAAACGCACAAAAATCGAGATTGTAAATCCTCAGGATTAGGTTACGGTAGTTGTCGTTGTGGGATCTTCGGCCACGGCCACCGGCGTTTCTTTTCCACAGCTCTGATTTTTCTCGTATCAGAATTTTGAAAAAAAAAACATCATCAAGACTAAATGTTCGAAGAAAAAAATCGGTTTCAGTTAGAGCACAAGTAATGCTGTGTTTTTAGATGTACGTTATGTGTGTTCCTTCTATATACAATATACTTTCGATGATTTTTATTTCAATTTCTCAGAAAAGGTGACCCTACGCATACTCTAGTATTTATAAAGTTTAACACAATTTTCATATGCCCTGGCTGAAACAGACTTTTTGCCATATTCTCACCTTGAAATGATTCCTTGGAAAGGTCACAACCACTAATCTGACAACAGGAACCATAAACGGGAAAATCATTGCTGAATAATTAGTGTAATACGCAGTCATAAACAACCCCTTCAAAAAATGATTCGGCTCAATAGAAGCACACCAAGAAGTGAATAATCCTGTAGATGGAAGTCGGACAGTGAAGTAGTCAAATAGAAAGAAAACGAAAACAGTGAGTTGTGATAAGGAGATAACCAGAAACACATGTTGATTAAGTCCGGGCTCTGGGCGGGTCCAGTTAGAAGTCAGGTAGACTGCGAAGATTTTACAGATGATATGGAAACTAGGAATTATGTAAATCCACGGAACTATTGCACAGATTTGAGCGAAACCGTTGAAATGGTTCTGATAAGCCATATAAGCGTCGTTGAAGTGAATAGTGTTGGGCCATTTGGGACTAGAAGAGTTGGAGGACATTTCAAGACTTTTAACTTTTAAATGATGAAATAAATTTTATTTAGTAAAATGAAGTTGGTTGTCAGTTTGACATACAGAATAGGAATTGACAGCTGATTTTTATAATAACTACTAGTTGTAACTACTAGCTAGAGAGTTGTGCTTTCAAAAATCACTTTTTTTTGTCTTTCTGCAGCTCGAAATGATTCAGGGTTGATGTGGACAGAAGCAGAAACTGGAATGTTGACGATGATAGAAAAAATTATGCAGGTGGAAACGGAAACACAAACCATGTTTCGAAATGTGTGAAACTTTTTTTCAGATTGAGTATTGTTGTGTGGCTGAAATTTCAGCTGAAAATAAATAAGGATCAAGAGTTAAAAAGCCTCGTGTTTTTTATTTATTTTCAGAGTCACAAATATTATCCTGGTACAAAAATCAGAGAAAAAATAATATAAAATACCTCTTAAAAACACATATTTTATAGGTTTCGGTAGTTTTCGTTTTGGGACCTTCGACAATGGTCACTTCGGATTTCTCTTCCACAACTTTTTTTTTGACTTTTAGAAAAATTTCCTGAAAAAACTGTCCAAATTTTCCCCTTTTCATCCACTTTGACGCCTGAACGTCGTCAGTGATGTCACAAAACAATGCGCGAGCGAGAGATATCCGTGATACACACACAGTGCGAGAGACGCAGGCCAGCAGAGACTTTCTTGTTTCGGCGGCAACTAATGTTTTTCGAATTCTCTTCATACATTTTCACTATTTCCCCGTTTTTGACTAGATTTTTTCCAGGAAACATGAGTAAAGTCAACCGAATCGAGTTAATAGCACCGCGGAAAACCATCTCATTCGGCGGATTCACGTTCGTCGAGCCAAATTTGAACTACAAGCCGCCGATTTTCTCGTGTTGCTCGTCGCTAAAAGATCCGTCGTGTTATCGAAACGAATTCGAAGAAGAAGAGGAGGATTCGTTCGATAAGCAAGAAGAGGAAGTTGTTCCTGCTCCGCCGAAGCCTCCCATAGCTACTGCTTCTTTTTCGAATTACGAAAAACCGACAACTTCGAATTACCAAGAACGAAACAACTACGATTGGAACAATCAGCAAAGCAACCAGCAGCACAGTTCATTCGACAACGATGACGATGATATATTCATAGAAGAGATACATTTAGGAAATAGCAACGAAAAATCAAAATCACCATCCCCCGGCCTTGACGATAGCTTCGAGAATTTCCAAGCGTCAAGTGCAGAAGTTGTTCAAGGAACTTCAGATGATGTGAACGACAGTTTTGAGGATTTCGAGCCTATTTCAGTGCCAACTGCGCCAAAAAGTCTAGCGACTCTTCAGAAATCTAGCTCAGAAGTTGCCTTAAACCAACAGCGACATGATATGCACGGAAGGTTTCGTGGATTTCTGCAAGATGATAGTGAAGAATTCAATAATGAGTGTAAGTAAATCTATCGATTTTCTAAATTAATTAATTATTTTAGTGGATCTTTTGGGCGCTGAAATGAACGAAGAGTTGTATAGCACGTTGAAGTCAAAGTTCGGATTCAATCAATTCCGACACCGTCAGAAGCAGTGTATTCTGTCGACGCTCATGGGTCACGATACGTTTGTGTTGATGCCAACTGGGGCGGGAAAGAGTTTGTGCTATCAGTTGCCAGCGGTGATTCTGACCGGTGTTACTGTTGTTGTTTCGCCGTTGCGATCGTTGATTGAGGATCAGAAAATGAAGATGAAAGAGTTGGGAGTGAGTAGCTTGATTAGCTTGTTGCTGCTGATGATTCAAGGGTGGGCGGAGCTAGCGAAATCCTTGAAGGAGAATTTATTTTCGTAATTATTTTCTGGTCAGTTTTTTCGTTTTCCGGTGGATATGTTATCCATTTTTCTATGTTTTTACTGGTTTTATGCGATTTTCTGCGATTCGTCAAATTTTTGTGAAATAATATTTTCTTCAATTTTTCCACGAATTTCATCGATTTTGAGCTTTTTTATCGAAAATCCGAAAACTTGCAAACATCTAAGCGAGTAGGAGCGATTCCTTATGATATTCTGATCCCTCCCACTTGACCTACAGGACTCTAGTCGGTCCGTCTGGTCATTTTACTTTTTATTTGTACAAGTCCCATTTCTTGCCAAATTATCTATTGATTTCCCCCATGCATTGCAAATAAATATATTATTATTATCGCAGGAAGACGATGGAAATTTTCGAAAAATAGATAAAATTAGGCGGGAAAATAATTACGAAAAATACATGATCCTTTAAGGACTTCGCTACCGGTTTTAAGCTCCGCCCACTCTCGAATTTTAAAAAAAAAATTTCGCGCGTTTGTGGTGTGAAAGAGACAACCGGAAAATTTCGAAAAATTCCTAAAAATCCAAACATCCATGCTTACAGATTGGATGCGAAGCTCTCACCGCTGATCTCTCCACTGGCGCACAAGAAGACATCTACACAGAACTGTGTTCGGAGAATCCATCGATAAAATTGCTTTATGTCACTCCGGAAAAGGTATTTTCACAATTTATACAAAAATCAACCAAAAAGTCAATAAAATCATCATCTCCTGCTCTTCCCCTTCTTCAATTTCTCCTTCAACTGTTGTTTCTCAAATTCCTGCCGATCCAAAAGTTGCAAAACTTGTTCATTTTGAGCATCCATCTCCAATTGATTCCTGAATCTCTCTCTTTCCAATTGTGTCTCATTTCGCCGTCTTTCCTCTTCCAAGCGAATGTTTTCAGCGTCTAGTTGAGCTCGCTTTTTGCAACTTTTCAAGAATTTTCTCATGAAAAATACGATGGCGATGTAGGGACCAAGGCCTGAAACAAGTGGCTAGAGAGGGGTTTCATTTCGGTCGCTAACCGAATTTGTGCATTTGCGCGTGAAGTGTTTGCGTACGCAGCATTTTTGTGACACATAATTAAAAATATGTGTCGTAAAATGCAATGTTGCGTTCGCAAACACTCTCTGGCATAGTGACGCGAAAATGTACGAATTCGGTCGGCTGTCAAGACCCCACAAATTCCGAAAACCAATTCCAGTGAAAGTGGGCGAGGGCTAAATTGCAAGCCGTGCACGGTTTTGTTGTTTCGCACATTAGCATACGATAATGAGAAAAACCGTGCGCAGCTTGCAATTTAAGCTCCGCCCCTAGACTTGAAGCCTTAAAGGTGAGGGGACATGAAAAAAAGATGTTCTCGAAATTCCGTTTAAATATGCCCCTCAAGGAACTTGACAGGGGGAGTATTGAAGGTTTGGCGCCGCTACCGACTGAGCCACGCGGGCAAAGAGAAAGCGGTCGCCCGATTGCATACATAAAGGCGAGGACGACAGAAGTACGCAGAGTGACATTAACCGTTGTACGCCGTCACGGTAGAATGCATACTCTGGCCCCAAAAATCCCCCGTAAAATCTCCTGTCCCCCCACCTTTAAGAGCACTTACTGAGCACAAAGAACAAGTAGAGAAGAATAAGCTTCCAATCTTTGGTCCCAATCAACCAGAATGTTCCAATTAGCGATAAGATCATACATGGACCTCCACCAACAGCCAGCACCCAGAAAACTTTAGGCACGAAGGGGTCCACAATCAGTAGCATGGGAATAGCAACCCATAATCCAAGGGCAACAAAACTGGGAATAGTTTCTAGGAATCCTTGCTGAACGCTGGTCCCAAATGTAATATATACAGTGAGCACAACGCATAGAAGCGACCAGAACCAAGTGAGAATGAGCAATTTGTTTTTAGTGAGATGCATTGTTTGGTATACCAGTCTTATCAGTACTACTTATATAGTTATCAGTATGAGCACACCCGGAAATGATGATTGTATGAGGAAAAGAAAATTTATAATGAGGAATAAAAGAAAAATATTATTCAGATCAGTGCATCTGGGCGCCTTAATTCTGTGTTCTACACTCTTCATCGACGCGGACTGCTCGCTCGATTCGTCATCGATGAGGCGCATTGTGTATCTCAATGGGGACACGACTTCCGGCCAGACTACACGAAACTTCATACGCTTCGAGAGAAATTCCACACACCGCCCGTCCCAATCATCGCGTTGACTGCAACGGCGACGCCGAAAATTGTGACAGACGCGCGGGATAATCTGAAAATGCAGAATTCGAAGCTATTCATCAGCTCGTTTGTCAGGGATAATTTGAAATACGATTTGATTCCAAAAGCGGCAAAATCGCTGATCAATGTTGTTGAAAAGATGAAACAGTTGTATCCGGGCAAATCAGGAATTGTTTATTGCTTGTCTAGGTGAGTAGCAGGCCCTGAAACGAGCGGTAAAGACCTACTGATAAACACAGTGTAGGAACCTGTATTAGAAGGGTCCCTTTTAATAGAAGATCCGCTGTAATAGAAGGGCTCTCCGGAGGTAAATACCTAGGAAAAATAGAAGGGCCGGACCTTCTAATAAAGGTTTTACGGTATTTTTGCGATTTCAAAATCATGGTTCAGCTTCAGCAACAAAACTTTTCTGCAGAAAAGAATGCGAAACTGTCCAAATGATGCTGACCAAAGCCGGCTTATCTGCAGAAGTCTATCACGCTGGCCTCAACGATAACCTTCGAGTCTCTGTTCAAAAAGGATGGCTCGCCAACAAATTCGACGTCATCTGCGCGACAATCGCCTTTGGAATGGGTATCGATAAGCCGGATGTTCGATTTGTGATCCATTATTCGCTTCCGAAATCCATCGAAGGCTATTATCAAGAGACCGGGAGAGCGGGAAGAGATGGAATGCCATCGTACTGCTTGATGTTGTATTCCTATCATGATTCGATTCGTTTGAGGAGAATGATTGAAGGTGAGTCCTAGAAAATTCTGAAATTCTGAAAATATACATTTTTCAGAAGGGAACACGACCACTGGCGTTCGTTCGATGCATCTCAACAACGTACTTCAAGTAGTTGCCTACTGTGAGAACGTGTCAGTTTGTCGACGTAAAATGCTTGTTGAGCACTTTGGAGAGGTTTACGATGAGCAATCCTGTCGAAACAGCAAAACCCCCTGTGACGTCTGTGAACGTCAACGAAAGAATCAAGAAGCCATTCGCCTGTTCGATGTGACCAATGACGCTCTTTCTATTATGCAATGTCTCCCTAGAATGCAAAAAGCCACGTTGAAATACATATCAGAACTCTATCGAGGGTCTCTAATCAAGAAGACGTCAGAACAGGCGGTACGAATGGGACATACCAAACTTCCATTCTTCTCAAAAGGACAAGGAATGACAGAAGGGGATGCGTTGCGATTTGTGAGGAAGTTGGTGATCGAGGGGTTGGTTCATGAGAGATTGTACTCGATTCCGAATCAGACGGCTGCAGTGTTGGCATACGCGGAATTGACAGATTCTGGAAAAGAGGTGGCGGCTGGGAGGAAGCAGGCAAAAGTGTATTTGCATATTGTGACGTGTGAGAAGAAGAGAAAGAATGCTGGCCTGATCGAATTGTCCAATATGAATACGGTATCAGAAGCACAAGCACTGAAGGAGAGACATATGGTGAAGCATGGTGACGTCTTCACGAAATGCCTTCAGGATCTCACTCAACTCATCACATCAGTTGCGGAGAGCTCCGGACTCACTGGCCCCTATTCTATCGTTTCGAGAGAAGGAATCGAACAGATTGCTGCTCTCTTGCCACGTACGAACTCTGATCTTTTGCGAATCGACTCTATGACCCAGATCAAGATCACTAAGTACGGTAGAATGATTATGGAGTTGTTGGCAACGTATTGGAAGCAGGTCGATGAGCGGGAAGAGGAGGAAATGAGAAATCAGCTGGATAAGCTGAAAAGCGGAGAGATTGTGATGGGTGGATTCGCTACATTGTCATCGGATTCGAACTTCCCGCCAGCGCCATATATGAAGCCGTTGGGAGGTGGAAGAGGAAGGAAACGAACGACTCCTGGGTAAGTTTTAAGCCATTTCTAGGTCATTTAAGCACGGTGGCCTAGAAAACTCAACTTGCAAAAGTTATGCCATCATATTAAAATGGCTTAGAAAAAACATCAGATGAATACCAGACCAATTCTAGGCAAAAAAAAATGGTGGTCTAGAAAAATCAACTTGCAAAAGTTAGGCCACCATGATAAAGTGGCCGAGAAAACACACCAGGGACATGCTAGGCCATTTCTAGATAATTTTACCATGGCGACCTAGGAAACGCAACATGCAATAGTTAGGCCACCACGATAGAATGGCCAAGAAAACATAGCAGGTGAAATTTAGACCTTTTTTTCAACCAATTTTTTTCAGATTCTCCTCTGGACGAGCTACAAAACGGCCACGTATCACTGCACCATCCCGTGGAGGAGCCAAGCCACGTGGCAGAGGAGGCGCCAAAGCGACGACATCTGGAGCTATTGGTGCCAGAAAAAACATGTTCCCATCGGCGTTCTTCTAATTCTTTGTTGTGTTTTCTGTCAAATTTTGCTGCTTTAGCCTTTGTAGGCTTTCCTGGTGTTGTTGTTTTTATGTTAGATGTGTGTCAAATAAAATCATGTAAAATTTATTCAGTTCAGTTAACTTTAAGCCGTTGCCACTCGTCTTTCGAATGCGCCATTCGTGACTGGTGGATTTTTGAAAACCGGATGAGTTTTGCAGAATATCCAAAAGACCAGACAAGCTTGAGCATCGTTTCCGAATGGACGAGCCAGCAAACATGAGAGAATTAGTAAGTTAGAGTAAAACTCCTTATTTTTCAACTGACATACCGTATTTGCTCTAATATCTAGAAGCTCACCTTATGTGGGAAATTTGAGATCATCTATCTCGGTTCCTTCAAATCATATCGAAAAATTCTCAACTGACAGATTATTTATCATAATATCATCAATATTTTATCAGTTCACACATTTTTTGATATCTCTCATGGGAACCGAGATAAGAGAGCTCATATAGGGCGAGCTTCTATTTTTCTACTGTTTCAGCGTTTTGATAATTTGAGACTCCACCGTTTTCATTAATGATGTAGACTATCGAAAACACCAATAAAAAAAGAAGCTCACCAGAGTTAGACCATTTGTCACATAAAACACAATCATAGCAATTGTGGTATATGTGATTGAGGTGCCATTTTATGAACGTTGGCTAAGCATGAAAGACCCAACCAGAAGGAGAGTGAACATGAATCTTAAAGATAAAACATGAATTTTCACTAAATCTCTAAATCTCAAAATAGGAACAACCCTAGTCAAGGAGGCGATTCCGTCCTCTTCTGATACTTCATCCTAACTTTCGAACCATTTTATAAGCTTTGACAAGTTTTCAGATATTTTACTAATCTGAAAATTTGTGTAATATCGAAAAAGTATCGTTACTTCCTTCTTCAGCCGCGACTCGCTCATTTTTGCCACACCCGTGGTCGCTTAGACTCCTCTCGCCCGCTATTGAGACATTCTGTTTTACTTGTGTTTCAACATATTTTCTTACAGATCGGATGCGAAGTTCTCATTGCTGATCTCTTCGCTGGCGCAGAAGAAGACCTTTACACAGTACTGCGTTCGGCGAATCCATCAATAAAATTGCTTTATGCCACTCCGGAAAAGGTAAGAAAAAATATTTTATCAAATAACAATTTATACAAAAATCACAATTTATTCGAACAATAATTTTTATCCATCTTCAATTGATTCTTCAGTTCCTCTATTTCCAATTCTGTCTCGGGATGAAAGCCTGAAAGAAATAGTCATTTCGGTGGAAAATAAAAATCGGCAACCACCGACCGAATTCTTGCATTTGCTCGTCAACATGCCAGAGAGCAGTGTGTGATTTCCGTAACGTTCGAACGAATTTTCGAAAAAAATTTCAAACCAAATTTCGAAATCTTGTTCGAAAATTTTTTTCTAAAATCACACACTCCGATTTTATGTGAGGAAAAGAGTGACCTAACATTTGCCACTGGGTTTTTCTAGGCCACCATGTAGAAATGGCCTAACAATGATCTGATCTTCATGTAGTGTGTTTTCTAGCCCATTTCAACGTTGTGGCCTAAAAAACCCAACTTGCAAAACTGAGGCCACCATGTCAAAATGACCCAGATAATCCACCAGGGTCATGATAAACTGTTAGTAGGCCAAAAAAGCAGATGGCCTAGAAAAAACCAACTTTCAAAAATTAGGCCACCATGCCAAAATGGCCCAGAAAGCGCACCCGGGTCATGTTAGGCCGTTTCTAGGCTAATCTGGTAGCCTAAAAAATTCAACTTGCGAAAGTTAGGCCATTAGGAACGCAATTTTCGAAATAAAATCTTCCGATTTTTCCGGAGGTTTTCAACACAAAAGTGGTCAAAAATCAATAGATCGAAAAGGTGTACCAAAAGCTTTAGGCTAGGGTGGTTTCTGTCACGAGAATCATTGCCACGCCCACAAGCTTCCCTTGGCCATATCTCCTTTTTTTGTAATACAGTAATATCAAGAAAAGCTTTTTTCTCGCTGAAAACTTCACTTACTGAGCACAAAGAACGAGAAGAGAACAAGAAGCTTCCAATCTTTGGTCCCAATCAACAAGAATGTTCCAATTAGCGATAAGATCATACATGGAACTCCACAAACAGCCAGCACCCAGTAAACTTCATCCACAAAGTGATCCACAATCAGTAACATAGGAATAGCAATATACAATCCGATAGCAATTAAACTCGGAAGAGTTTCCCAAAATCCTTGCTGAATACTGGTCCAGAATGTAATGTAATCCGTCAACCCTCCGCATAGAAGAGACCAAAACCAAGTGAGAATCAGCAATTTGTTTTTCGTGAGAGTCATAGTTTGGTATGGCAGACCGAGCGCGTGTTATCAGTGACTTATATAGAGGTATCAGAGGAGCACACCACCGAAAACGATGATATTGTCGGAATAAAAAAAGTGGGACTCGGTGTTTGCGTACTTTGATTTCCGCTTCCCCCCGCCGACGCTCCGCCCACTGCTTTTGCAAGTGCGGCGTTGTGTTTTGCAATTGTGCGGCGCCACTTCGGGTTTATTGTAATTAATGAGGTTTTCATTTAAAAAAAACAATTTATCTCACAATTTATAGAGAAAACATTGAAAAAAGCAACAATGAGCTACAACCGGGGCATTTCAAAGGAAACAATCTTAAAAAGAGGTAGTTATATCTGGAAAAATGTGGGTAGAAAGGGGGAAAAATGATTAGGAAGCTATGTTGAAAGGAATACAAGATTTTCTGAAGATGTTGCTCAACGACAGTTGTGGACTCGGAGTGTTGGAGCCCAAGTGACTCCAATTAGCCACGATAAGAAAGTACAAACATTTCCGACCACTCGTGACATCAGTCTTCAAGCTAAACCTTCGGACATTCCTGGCTTCTTTCATCTGAAAAACACAGCGACTGATCCTACCTCAACCAGCAATGCAAGCACCCAGAGTAGTACAATTATCCGTAACAAGACAACCTCTTCTCAGTGTGTTTTACCTCCCGCCAACAGATTCAAGTATCTGACTGAGGTATAAAGATCTTATCAACCTAGAATAGTAAGCAGTAGGGTGCACGTTTCAGACTGAATTGAGGCACATGAGAATCGGACAATCGTTATGTTACATAGACACTTCCATCTTTCCAAAAACCCCCACACAAAAACACACTAGGAACTCTGGAGAAGAAATCATGAGAAATGTGTCATCGTCTGTCGGCATAATTCAAGAAAAATTGGGCAGTGACTGTCGTTTTACAATGTTCTCCAACACTGCAATGGCAACAGCTGAAATGTGTGGTCTGAGCAGAAAAACAGTAATCCGCCTGACTCCCGAACGAGACCTACCGCAAAAGAAGCTTCTTGTTACAATCGGGAAAAAAGAACGGTGCAGGAGATATGCTTCTCAATTGGATTTCGTCAAAAGAGTTCGAATTGTAGCAAAAATCCACTCTCTTTGGAAAGAAGGTCGCGATGTTACAGTATCCGATCTATGGACATTTGCGAAGGATGAGCTCAAATTTCAGAGAGGGAATTCAGTGTTTTTGTATGTACTTCGTGGACTTGGATTTGTGTATCGCCAAAAGGAATTCAACCCAATCGTGTCAGAGCGACCAGATATTGTACACAAAAGAAAGCTGTATCTCCAGTTGAAGAAAGAGTGGGATTCCAAAAACGCTCTTTATGGATCCTTCGATGAAACGTGGGCACACAACGGCATGGTGAGGCGTCTTGCCTGGATGCATGCAAATCAGGGGATGTACAAAAAGTCGAAGTTGATGGATCTTCTATCATCCCAGCCAGGTCCGAGTAAGGGAAGAGAGAGAGGAAAGAGGGTCATCATCGCTGCTGTCATCACACAGCTAGGAGTTCTCAAAGGATCCGAGCTTCTTCTTGTTTCCGGATTGAGAGAAGAAGATCAGAAGCAAGATTATCATGCCGATATGGATGGTAATAACTTTGAGATCTACTACCGAAAGATGATCCCGCTTTTTGCGGCTGAAGCTGCAAAACTTGGAAGACCCGCAGTGTTGTTGTGTGATAATGCGCCGTATCACAATGCTCCACTCCGCAAGCCTCCGACGAGCACTTCTTCCCGAGCTGACATCACATCTTTTCTCACGGAGCATGGTGTAAAGTTCTTCCCAAAGCAGACGAAGGAGATCCTCTAAGATTTGGCTCGAATCTTCATTGAATCCAACGGGGGTCGCGAGGCATTCACGGTCTACAAATTCGACGAGTATGCCAAGTCTCATGGGGTTACTGTTTTAAGACTCCCACAATATCACTGTTTTTTTCATCCAGTGGAATTACTGTGGGCGCAATTGAAACAGCACCTCAGAAAGATTGGCAAACCGGAAGATTCAGTAGAACTAGTAATTTTTAGATATTTTTTTCCAGAAATTGTTTTCCATTTAGGTGAGAAGCCGTGCCAAGGCGTTCCTCGAGTCTTTTCCAGCAACTTCGGCCGACAAACTGTTTCTTCACACTCAAAAATTGGAGACAGACCTTCGAGAGATGATGGAAGAAGAAGATATGACGGATTACGACGAGGTGTTCGACTTGAACTACGACGTCGATGAAGCTGGCAATCTCTACAACATCCGAATCGATAGTGATGACGAAGACACGATGGTGGACGAGGTCAATTCTCGGACAACAATGACTTTCTAGAATAATGCAAATTAGTATTATTGTTAGCCTTTTCCGGTTTTTTTTTTCTCATTTTCCCAGTGAATTTTATAGTAATCGTTTACCTGTAATCAATTATTGAGTTTTGAGACAACAAGAAGTAAAAAAATCATTTTCTCTAAAAAATTGTGACATAAATTGCAATTTTTCTATGAAAATCTCATTAAAACCTCATTAATTACAATAAACCCGAAGTGGCGCCGCACAATTGCAAAACACAACGCCGCACTTGCAAAAGCAGTGGGCGGAGCGTCGGCGGGGGGAAGCGGAAATCAAAGTACGCAAACACCGAGTCCCACTTTTTTTATTCCGACAATACGACGGAAAAGAAAATTATCAATGAGAAGTAAGAAAATTCATTATTCAGATCAGTGCATCTGGGCGCCTTAATTCTGTGTTCTACACTCTTCATCGACGCGGACTGCTCGCTCGATTCGTCATCGATGAGGCGCATTGTGTATCTCAATGGGGACACGACTTCCGGCCAGACTACACGAAACTCCATACGCTTTGAGAAAAATTCCACACGCCGCCCGTGCCGATCATTGCGTCGACTGGGACGGCGACGCCGCATTAAATCAGTGTTTGTTTTTTGAAAAAAATCGAAATTTCGTTCAAACCTTGAAAGTTGGTGGCCTAGAATAAACTTGCAAAAGTTAGATCAACATGTTGAAATAGTCTAGAAGACATACCAAATCATGTCTTCCCGGTGGGGTTTTTACTTATAGTTAGATGTGTCAAATAAAATCATGTAAAATTTATTCAGTTCAATTAACTTTAAGCCGTTGCCACTCGTCTTTCGAATGCGCCATTCGTGACCGGGGTCTTTTTGAAAACCGGATGAGTTTTGTAGAATATCCAAGAGACCAGACATGCTTGAGCATCGTTTCCAAATGGACGAGCCAGCATTGTGTAGGCCATTATGGAATGAGTTCCGTAGAACAGATAATAGGAGAGCTGCAATTTTTTGAGTTAGATATTCTTTTAGTTTTCCAGATTTTGTGAGAAAAATAAAGCTATGTCGTCCGTTACTTATTAAAAGTGAAAAACCGGTGATTAGAATATCAAAGAACTGAAACAGATAAAGTATTTGATTTTTCCCATTTTTCTCAACATTTTCAGGTTAGAAAATCTCTTTAAAAACGAATTGAAATCGAAAAAAAACCCTCATTTTTTTACTGACATATATTCTGGTCAATTCTCGGACAACAATGACTAACAAAAGCACGCGATTCAAATGTCAAATAACTGAAACAGTGATAAATTATATATTTTCCACATTTTTTCTCGAATTTCTCCTTGAGAAAATCGGGAAGAAATGGAGATTAAAACAATGGGGTAAACCGAGAAAACTCATTTTTTTTTCGACTGACATACCGTACTTGCTCTAGCCAACTCAATCTTTATGCGCATTTTGAGCTTAATTATCTCGGTTCTTCCGGAAGATATCAAAAAACGGTCAACTAATAAAATGTTTATCATAAAATCACCAATATTTTATCAGTTGACAGGTTTTTGATCTCATCTCTCTTATAGGAACCGAGATAATTGAGCTTATATACGGTAGGCTTCAATTGGAGAAAATACGGTAATAATTCTACTGTTTCAGTTCTCTGATAATTTGAGATGTTTTAATCTACAGCGTTTTCTCTAGCTTAGCTTTAGACAATCAAAAACCTCTAAAACAGAGAAACTAACCAGAGTGAGACCATTAGTCACGTAAAACACAATCATAGCAATTGTGGTATATGTGATTGATACTTGAGCTTTATATGATACTCCACTCGTCTGTTGAGTGAACAATTGCTCTCTGGCATGTGCTATTTTTATGAATAGAAGAACGTTGGCAATGCATGAAAGACCCAACCAGACGGAGAGATTCCCGAGGAAGAATGGCGTGTTTCGAAGCTGAATCATGTTTTAAGTTAGAAGAATTTTAACCAGGTCAATGGAATTGAAAGTGTGATTCACTAGAACTTTTATGGGTTACATGAAGCAGCATCGTTTTCCAGTTTTAAATGGAAGGAGATATACAGGGTTATTTCCCAAAAATTTCTTGATTTTAAAAACCGCATGAAACAGGGAACTTCATAATCAAAAAGGTCAAAGAAAACCTATAAATTCCATGACAACTCACCCCAAAAGCCGGACCAACATAATAAATCCAAATAGATCCGAATGGATATGGAAACTCCAATTGCTTGCAGACACCAATGGCTGGGATTAGGAAGAATGTGAAGAGAATCGGATAGATTATTCCAAATGGCACAGCGATGTACATGATTATTGTGTTGATCTGGAAAAGCATAAACAAATGTTCTTTAAGTCCTATTTCTTGGTTTCTGAGCTCAACGTACAAGTATAGTAATCGTTTTTCTGTTTCAATGGGTTTTCATAGATTTAGTAATTTTTTCAAGCTATGTATAATGCCAACAATTTTCTGGGGCCGCAGTATTCAAAACTTCTGGAGTTTTCTAGGCCATTCGGCTAGTCCATGCGAGATTCTTGCAGGAAACTCAATGTACATTTTGTTGAAGCGATTTACTAGCTCCAATTTAAAAGAACACAGATTTTCCTGCAAAAGGCTTGCATGGACTAGTCAAATGACCTAGAAAGACTAGCAAATGGCCTAGAAAACTCCAGCAATTTCGATTGCTGCGGCCCAAGCAATTTGCTTGGTTTCTTCTCACTGATGACCTCCATGAAAATAACTTTTCTTTTCCACAATATTTTCCAATAATTTACCCAATAATTTGACTTCTTGTAAAATATATCAAAAAGTTGTCAACTGATAAATTGCTCATCATAATATCAAAAGTGTTTTGTCAGTTGACAAATTTTTGATATATTTCATATGAATTGAGATGATTGAGCTCAAACTTGACAGTGTATAGGCTCTTCTATTACAGGTTTTACGGTATGCTATTTCATTTACAGCTCAGTTGCGGTTTTCTACAAAAGATATCAAAAGTCTGTCAATAGATAAAATGTTGGAATTTTTTCGAACATTCATAAATTTGTTAAAAATTGTTCAATCAAATTGAAATTTTGCATGAGAATAGCTGTAAAATCCAAAAACATAAAAACCGGTTTTTTGAAAATTCTCTTTCTCGGAATTTTCAGAGCAGTTTCAGATGTAACAGCGGTTCGAGAATCCAAAAAAAAAACTTTTTTCCAGCATTTTTTCTGGCTTTGATTTTAGATGTAACATGATTTTCAGCGCCCAAATACAATATGCACCAAAAAAGTTTGAAGAACTTTGGAAGTCGGGCTCTCGAGTTATGATGCTCAGAGCACAAAAGGTATATGTCGGCATTTTTGCTATAACTCAGCTGAAAAAGTATTTTTGATGCTCAAAATTTCACAAATTATGTGTTTTGAGTTGTTCATCAGTTTTATAACAAAGGTTTTTCAATTGTAGAAAATGTTTTTCTCAATTTTTTCGATTTTAGAGATTTTCCCTAGAGGTGAAAAAAATGAAAAAAATGTTCTACAATTGTAAAATTTTGAACACCAAATTCATGAACAACTCAAAACACATAATTTGTGAAATGTTGAGCTTCAAAAATACTTTTTCAGCTGAGTTATGGCAAAAATGCCGACACATACCTTTTGTGCTCTGAGCATCATAACTCGAGAGCCCGACTTCCAAAATTCTTCAAACTTTTTTGGTGCATATTTGGGCGCTGAGAATCATGTTACATCTAAAATCAAAGCCAGAAAAAATTCTGGAAAAAATTTTTGGATTCTCGAACCACTGTTACATCTGAAACTGCTCTGAAAATTCTGAGAAAGAGAAATTTTCAAAAAACCAATTTTTATGTTTTTGGATTTTTCAGATTTTCTCATGCAAAATTTCAAATTGATTGAGCAATTTTTAACAAAGTTATGAATCGAAAACAAAAATTTTAACAAAGTGTTGAATCGTTATGTTCGAAAAAATTCTCCTCACCACTTCTCGCCACTGTATAGTGGAGGGATCAATTTTCTGTTTCAATCAGTTTTGATAGACATTTAGTAATTTTTCAAGAAATGTTTCTCCCGAATGCATAGAAAATTTTTTCAATAATTTTTTCGAATACTCATTGTCATATGAATGTCAAAATTTCAGAAAATCCCCTGCCCCTAATGGAAGTAACTTTCTGGATTGACGATTTTGACAAATCTACCCATTTTAACTCGCTTCTTGTAAAAGATATCAAAAAGTTGTTAACTAACAAAATGATTACCATAATATCAAGTACAGTTTATCAGTTAATCACTGTTCGATATCTTTCCCAGAAATCAAGATAAATTAGTTCAAACTAGAAGTCAGGTTTCAAGATTTCTCGATTTCTACCTTTCCATGAGCTTTTGGATGTATTAGGATGATCAACCGAACCACTGGCATGAACAACGGGTAGATCATTGCCAAATAATTCGTATATGAGGCTAAAAATGAGACCACCAAGAGCCACGAATTGGGTGCAATTCCTGCACACCACGAAGTGAATAATCCAGTTGCCGGAAGTCGAACAAGAAGATAATTGAATAAGAAAAACAAAAAGCAAGAGATCTGGACCAGAGTGATCACAAGGAAAACGTGTTGATTCTTTCCAGCTTCCAACTGATCCCAATCAGTTGTGAAGAGGACTGCGGTGATTTTGAAGATGACGAAAATGGTTGGAAGCATGTAAATCCAAGGGACGACTGCCAGAATAGTTGGGAATCCGTTGTATTCATATTGATAGTTTAGATAGGTCTGATTGAAATGGATAGTATCCGGTGGAGTAGTCATGTCTGAAAATGAGAAAATCAAAAATAGAAACAAGGAAAAACAAAAAAAATGTTTTTGAGTCAGAAGGGAGTGTATGAGCAATGGGGTGAGAAAGTGTATTGGAATAGGTTATTGAACATTGTCTTGTCTCTCTTTTTCTGGAGTCAACCAATCTCGTTTACACCTGCTTCCCGGAATATAACACGTTTTGTGGGGTAAGAAAATGGAAGAGAGGGAGACCAGATTTGATGACGTAAAGAACATAAACTGGAATAAAGAAAATTAAAGTGTGATTTTATGGTTTTGCAGCTGGAAATTAACTGAATTGCCGTTCTCCAAACCAGAGCAAACATAGGTTTGCAAAGTGTAACGGCAATGTTTTCGATTCTGATTCAAAACTTTTTTTGACGGTTTCAGTGAGGTTACATATTGCGTAAACTTGTTTCAATCTGGCTGTACAAGAAATATCAAACGACTAATAGAGTGACAGGCAAACCGTCAACTTTAAGCCCATACAACCCAATTCTCGTAAAAGATGTTAAAATGTTGTGTGTAAAGATAGAAATTTAATAACTACAAATTTGGCATAAATTTTTAGAGCAAACTCACAATTTCAAGTATATTTTCGAGAGCCGCAATTTTAGATTTTTTGCTGATACAGTTAAATAGTAAAATCTATTTAATAAATCATCTTTAATACTTGTTTCATGTTAAAACGAACAAAAATATATCCTTTTTTAGACTGTTTTTCAGCGAAATATACTAAACTTTGAAGTTATAAACAAGTTTTTCAGAATTTTTCGATTTTTCTGAAATTTTCAGAGTTTACTGAACAAAATTAAGGCTTCATTTCTGTAATTGGCAAATTTTTTGTATGAATTCAACAAAGGGAGATGATCCGTGCTAAAATGGCAGTGTTATTTCGGCATTTCTTTTTCGTTTACCTATCTTATCAGAATTAAATTTGCCTAAAAATTTGCTAGTTACAGAATACTCTCATTTTTTAATTGTACAAACAACGGCCCGAAATTTTGCAAGTATGCGTAAAACTACAAATTTGAAGATTAAAATTAGAAACTTTGAGAAATTTTAAGATGCATTCCCATTTAAGGTCGCCTGGATTCTCTAAATTTTGAAAAATTCTGATTTCATTAAAAATATTTTGTTTCTAGATTCGATGGATATTCCGTTTCATGACTTTTATTTTTAGTGAATCTGGAATTAAAAAAATAATAAGTCAGGTTTGCCTTATTTTAAAACTATGCAAGGAAGCAGTATTTTTTGAACTGTTCATGTAATAAACATACTGATCTGCAGTTTCGGAATTCTAGATTTTCTGGTTTACGGTCATTTTGATTCCACGAATCTGTTCAGTACTAGCTCAAATATTCTCTCAATGAGTCTCGATGCAAAGTTTTTTATCTAACAAAAAATTGTATAATCTACTGGAAATTTCATGAAAACAGTTTTCAGATGTTGTCTGAGTAATCAGATTTGATTCGAAAAAAACAACTTTTCTGATTTATATGGAACCGAAATATTATCTTCAAAATGCTAAACACCAAACAACCAAAACTCACATCACTTTCCAAAAACTTTTGTTTTGAGCCCTTCAAACTTACTTAATTTATAGTTTCTCACTTCGAAAATTCCGGTTAATACATTGAGAACCTTCGAAAGTTTTCATTACTTATATTTTTCACAAGAGACATTACTTATATTTTTCACAAGAATGTCCCTATCATTATGTTCTGGATGAAATGTTTCTTCATGGTGCTATGCTTGGTTCGATGCGCATTAGGTGAATAAGTTGGACCTAGTTTTTATGAAACTTTTTTTTTGCAAAAAAACGAGCAAATGAAGATGAGAGGATGGGAAAAACGTGAGAAAGGGGCTAGATTCTTTTGGGTCATGACCTAGAGCCTTTTTGGGTTATGACCTAATTTTGTCTAGGCCATGACCTAGATTCTTTTGGGTCATGGCCTAAGTTTTTCTAGGCCATGATCTGGAATCTTTTGGGTCTTGACCTCAATTTCCTTCTTTGGCATTCAGAAAAATGTGTTTAATTCACGCGAATTATTCTGAAAAACTGTCAACACTAGGAACTGTTATACTGAAAATAAAAATAAATATTGTCTATTCAAAATAATCGCACGATTGAACGAGTAAAAAACGTGTAGAAAGTCTCCAAGCCTGTAGAGGCGCTGTAGACACGCAGGGTTTTTTACTCGTTCATTCGTGCGATTATTTTGAATAGACAAAAAACTGAGAAATAAATTATGAAATATTTGGGCCTAATGTAGTAAGATACATTAAAATTGTTACAGTTTCGACGAAATGAGAAAAATAGCGAAGAAAATTGGAAAAAAAACAATCTTTCGATCGCTTTGGATTCTCTGATATCGTGAGCAGAGATTTCAAAAGAACGCCATGAATTCCAATTTTTCTTTTAGCCCATTTGTCGATTGTATGTTTAGCACCAGCTCGTTATTTCATGTTTATTATTTTCCATCACAAAAACATTTCAAAATTAAAAATTCAAAAACTTCGAGACTCTCAAACTCCAAATAAATGTTCAGTTGAAAACATTGGAAATTGAAAGTTTTGAAAAAAATAAAAATAAAATAATTTCATGGTTCTCTTGAATGTTCTCTTCTATCCATTGAAGTTCCTTCCGTATTCACAAGAACTTTGTTGAAAACTGGATGGGTACGGTAGAAAGTCCACGCGACCATGCAGATTTGAAGTTCATTGGAAAATGGACGGATTACTGCACTATAGGCCATTGGAGACGTGGTGCCGTAGAATATCAAGTAGAGCAGATGAAAAATAATTGCGGTTTCAGAAACTTTGTATTTGGAAGGTTTTACATAATCGTTGTTATTGTAGCTTTTTTTAAAGGTGGTCTACGGTGTCATTTTTTATTGCATCAAAATGTGCAAAAATGCAGATTGACATAAAATAAAGAAAAAAATTCAAAAAAATTCCTTCATCGAGAAAAAAGCATACGCTGAAAGCCCGTAGGGACGAGCTTTTTTCTAGGCCGCCCGGTGAGT